TTTAGGGTTTAGGGTTTTAGCGGCTTAGGTGTCCTCTTCATGGGATGTTCGGTATTGCCGGCACAGTGGAGGCTGAACGAGGCTGAGCAGCGCCAGCCAAGACCCCTAGACCCCAGGCCCGAAAGCCCAAGCCCTACACCCCCAGTCCTTGTTGTTTTGCATCCTACCATACGTAGGAGTTTATGTAACCGTGTACAGTCGTCATGTAAAATGTTAGTTGCTACCACGGCCGTATATTCACATCCTAAGCCTTATATCCTAAACCCGAAAAAAACCCGAGTCTAAATCTCCGGCAACGTGACCTGGTAGATCAGAGGCGACAACTTTGGCCGACCGCCAGAGAACCCGGACGATTTCCGGGACCAGCATGTTTTTGGGACATGGCTAGATGGCGGCCGTAAGAATTAGAATCAGGTTTGTTTGCTCAGAAGGTTTTAGAGGGTTTATTTGTGGCTTAAGTGATTAGAACAGGCTTTGGGGGTATGTTGCAATGCAGCTGCACCGGGCGCCCGGGTATATATATATATATATATNNATATATATATATTTGTATACATATAATTCTTCAAACCTCTGCATGTGGGGTTCGCGGTCCTGGGTTCCGAGGCGTCTCGGTTTTTTGGGGGCCTCGGGTTGAACGTTTGGGGATTTGGGGTTCGGGTCCAGGGTCGGGACCGTAGTAATTCGACGCAGGGTTTTCGAGATATTCAGGCGCCACAAGGGTAGTTTACTAAATTAGGGTCNNAGGGTCCTTTTTATAAGGGTGCCGTGACCTAAAAAGGGACCCGAACTACCCGCAGGGGGATGCTGTTTCGTAGTGTCAAGCTAAGACGCCTGCAGTAGGATCTCGTGATTAACTCATGTCTCTAGGTCTAGGGCTTCGGCTTGGTGTTGGGGATCTAGGGCTCATAGTTTGGGGTTGAGGACCCGGGGTTTATAGTCAAAGAGTCTAGGGTTCATGGCCCATGGTTCAGGTCTGGGGTTCAGGGTACAGGGTCTATAGGCTTTCTAGGCTTTCGGGGTTCGGGCGAAGGATTTAGGGCCACGCTGGCATAGAACAATCACCGCGCCCTTTGCAAGAAAGCCTCGACAAAGCCGTCCTCAGCCCTTATGATGCCTTTGCAGATATCCTTCTTAAAGCCCTTGAAAATCATTCCCAACGGGATCCCACGCACCGGCCTCCAGAACAAAGGCTCTCCCAGAGAACTGCTGCGCCTGTGCAGGAGTGGGATTCCAAACGGCGGGACTCGGTCACGGGGGAGCTGTGACCCGTCTACTCGGAAGTTCAAACCCTGATGTAAGGCAATGTAGGGGCGTGGAGAAGTAGAATTTGGGTTTTGGGGGCCCATTCTACTATCATTACAATAAGGAACNNTTATTTAGGCCCCTACATTAGGCTGTATCTCAGGGTTTCTATAATTACAAGGATTACTATACGGACCAATAAGGGTTTCTTTAAGGCTTTATGTAAGCTGTTTTCAAGGTTTACTGTAAGGGATCTGGAAGGGTCTAGGGCTTACAGTTGCTTTCCACAGGGATTTGGTGAGTTTATATAGGGCTTCCGTTTCACTTTTGGGGGGAATAGAAATGAAAGCCCTACTTGACTCAAGCCTTCTAGCCTCGTCTGCGAGCCCCAGGCCTTCGTCTCCTGAAGCCCTACCGTTGCGTAAGCTTGAAGTGCAAACATCCTTGAAGCCCTAAAGAGGTGGTGGTACTTGGAGCGTGGGGCTTGGTTTTAAAGACTCTGGGTTCAGGCTGCAGTGATCCTGCCTTGTCTGGCACGTCACTGGTGGATCAGCGTTTCGGTTTCTACACGAAGTGTCGGAACGAGTCAAGTTTTTTGGGTAGTGGCAGCACTTGTTGTCGGCGGCGTCGGCGTCGGTGTTATCGTTATCGTTATCGTCGTCTCGTTGTCGCCTACTGACTACTGTGCAGCTGCTGCTCCGCTGTTGCTGCTGCTTCTGATACTGATCATGCGGGATACTGTAGCAGAGTAGCTGTGGCAGTATTCCAAACTCTGGAACGACTGTATAGCCCTGGACGCGGAAGGTACGATCATATTATACGATCATATTCGATCATATACGATAATATACGATAATATA